TGAAAGGGAGTGTGCGTTCGGTTGTTTTTTTTTTGGGGGGGGGGGGGTGTTCTTTTCTTTATTACTTTTTTTTATTTTTGTGTGTGTGTGGGAGGGGCGGGTGGGGGGGTATTTGGTACTAATTTTTGTTCACCTTAACCATGGTTTAATATGTGCAGCTTCTTTGATAAAAATGTCGGTGAGCGATAACCCGATGCTCCACAGAAACCAGTAAGGACTAATTCATAAGGTCTAAGCCTTGCTTCAATTGGATAAAGTGGCATTGAGAAGGGTTGGGCGTATGTTTGGTGTTGATTTATTTGACTATTTGACCAATTTCGCTCTTCTTCTATCCTCATGCGATTTGTTTGGGTTTTTTGGGGTTTTTTTTTAAGGAATATTGCAGCTGTGTGCCTTTAGTGGGTGTATGGCGTTTCATTGTGGACAGGGAAAGGATTTGGAATATATGGGGGAGTGGATGGGGGTGGGGTGGGGTGATAATGCATAGAATATGAAGGTAATCTTTCGTAGATTTTGGTGGCTCTGAAAAGAACCTTTTGTATAAGCAAAGAAGATTCTACGTGTTTAAAAATTCACTCCATCTCGCCTTCCGACGAATGGCTGCTATCTTCACTATCAGTTGCGACACAGCTTCTAATCTTGTGGCGTAGGTATAAGAGGTCTTAGAAGATTGAATGACGAAGCTATTGAAGCGACAATTCAGAATGCGGTTTCCAATTCCACCTCAACTATATATAGGCATGTACCTGGTAAGCTGGAGTGACGCCAATTTCTCTTCTTGGCATCCCGTGACATTTTTGTGTATTAGTCGTAGCTAGCAATTTAGGTCAGTGTTTTGATAAGCATATTGTCTCCTCATTAGGCAGCAATCAACATCTTTTTTCCGACTTGACAACTTTATGATCGATTCTTGATTGCATTGATTGGTTTTAATCGGTTCTGGTCTCTGCAACTATTCCGTTCGCTGGAGGAAAACGATTTTCTGGCCTTGAGGTCAATATTCGTTGTGCTAAACGCTTTTAACTGCCAAGAGAGAGCATCAAATGACAATTTCTTTACACCAACGTTTGTATAAGATTGAACACTGAAATTGTGAGATATGCAAACTTTATGTAGAATATTTTAACATGTTACAACACGCCGAAAATAAGCAACCTCTGAACTTTGTTACCCTCCTGCCTTTAAACCATGAATATTTACCATTTCAATCCATCTTCTTCTATTCTAGACCAAAAAATTAACAAAAATGTCCATGCTATTATTGTCTGTATTTATCGACCGCCTTCATAATTACAACGCTTTCCCCTACAAATACTTTGGTAGATTGACATATAATACTTCATAATTATATTGAAATAGCCCAAATGTTGTAGAATATAAAATAAAATTTGGTGCCAATTTTTGTGATTTAAGATACAGCTTCCAAAGACCTAGCTATCTCGCTAAAACCCTAGAGATAAATCTGGTGTACGGAGGAAGGAGAGCAGGGGTACCCTTTATATTTAAGACATGGCTCACACGCGAATTATTAAAACATTAGGCTGTTCTCTATATTACTTGAAATACAAAATAGACTCTGCTTTAAAATCATTCCTAGAATGGTTCATAGGTATATAGAAATGGGAATATCGACACTCCAATGCCTGTGGAGATTGACATTTCATGTTACATGTTACAGGACTAATATTCTGAATGTGCATTGTTAAGTAATTTTAAAATAATTATCCACGTTTTAATCACGTGGCAGTGCCATATGCGCTTAATGGACAAATAAACAAGGTTAATAAAACTTTAAAAATGTCTTTTAACGATCAATAAACTTGAAGCGGAGGAAGTGTAACATAAAACGAACGCATTTCTCATTCTAGTTCACACGGTGTCGTGGTCAAAATGATACATATCTATTTTCTGATCTTATTAGAGTTCTTCTGTGGTTTTCATTTAGCTTCTTCTTCAAAACCCGCTGTTCTGAAAGGTAATGTAAACACAACCCTTTAGTGGAATTAGAAACATAACAAAACTAGAACAATTAGTTGGGACGACAATCACTAGTCTATTATACAGAGTCACAGTGTTGCCATAAGTATCCTTGCACCTTTATCAAGTACAAATGGTGTGCTTCATACGATGCGAGAACACTTATCGAAACGCCATGTTGTGTTTGATAACGACAAGCTGGTGCTTATCAAAACGTCGCGTCTTTGTATAACAAACCAGTGATTGCTGCCACAAATTATGATTGTTCAATGTTTTTTATAACATATAATTTCATCGATGATGCTTATTTAACAAGCTCCTTATCAGATTGTATATATTTTACAGTTGACATGTTGTGTTTAAGCATCATAATTGATTTTTCGTCTGTTTTAGTTAACACTTCTAATATATAAGGATTAGTTTAAACATAAGTGAAAGGAATATTCTAAATATAGATATTGTTTATGAATTTAAAATACGAAAATTACTCTGTCAAATAACGAATTAATACACGCAAACCAATGAAATGACAATTGTGATCCAAATAACAGACACCTTCCTTCCCAGGAAAAGTTAGTTTTATTTGTACATTTTTTTTCAATATTTAAAGATACAGGACAGTAAACTAAATTATTAGCGAAGGTTTCCCTTTTATAGATATCTTATTAAAAGTCACACGTATCTAATTTTTATTAGATACGATAATAATAGCTGTTTTACTGGAAAGTAAATAAGAAGGGGGTATGGTGGGGGACAAGTTAATGAACAAGTCATTTATAAGCATCTGAATGCTTGTTTTCGTATCCTATATACCGTAATTCAGCTATAAAAAATTGTAAACATTGCAAATAAATATTGTTTAAACCAATGAACAAAGAAATGAAAAGAAATGGGGTTTAACGTCCTACTGTTATACTCAAGCTGGGCTAATGAAGACAGGCATATGCCATGCAGTGTGCTATGACGGGAAATTTGCCTGGATAGCGACACTATGGCCTACTCTTATTTCGAATTCTGTCATGGGTTCTTTTACGTAAACACAATTGTGTATACGGGACCTCGGTTTTTCGGCCACTCCCAACGACTATACGTTGTCTCTTACAAGGCCATCCATCCTACACCACCGACAAGTGGGAACCACGCCGGAAAATCCCGATGAACTCTCTCGGCCAACCCAGGAATCAAACACCAGACCTCCTCCAGATTAACGAGCCAACGCCCTACCCACTGAGCCACACTGAACAAAGAAATTCTACATGGGCGCAAAGCTTCTAAGGAAATCTTCCACCCAGATTATTTGACAACTAGCTAGTCAGGGTTCATGAACTAGGTCCAACAGCGAGCGCGATCGAACTTGATCCAAATATCTTCATGTCTAGTTAAATATAATTACGGGGTAATTTCACATTAAATACTGAATCGAATTGGCTGAAAGTAATTTTACAGCAAACTAGAGATTTAATACCTCCCGAAAACGGAAATCGGCGGTATTATTATTATGCTTCTTTAGATAATTAAAATGTTAATAGGACGTGGGAGGATAGCCTAGCTTCCTTCAATAACATTGTGATTATTTCGAATTAAAATAATATTTTTGAGGATTGGAAATATGGATAATAATATATTTTTCACACCTCCTCCTTTTATGTGGGAATATATTGTTGTCACGTTTGTGTGACGACTAGTCCACCCACAATGGTTGTAAATACTAATTTTTGGGGATTTTCTGTGATTACTTAGATTGGCATAAAGTGAAACTATATCAGAATGCAACGCGGGTATTAGTTGGTTTTTTCAGAGTTATTGCCCTTGTCACTGTATTGTCTCTACCATAAAATAATCAATCATAAGAGTTTTTGAAATTTCTTGTTAAATCTTTAAAGAAGGAGCCATGCGAATTCATTATAACGAAACCTTGAAAACGCTTTGCCTCACAGAGTTCTTGTGATTTCCTTTCATTTGGACGTAAGGATATTCCCTTTGGGTCACATACTGCCATTTGCGCCGTTTATATGAAGTTATGGTTCCTTTTGACCTTTATAAAACTTCCGGCGAATTGGGGGTGGAGCGGATATTATTCCCCGGCAAGATTGTTTCTATAGATATGCTATTTCATTCATAACAAAATTACCAGAGGAATTCTAAGTATCCTTTGAAGTATGATTTATTTAAAAGTACGAGGGTATAATTTATATTCAATAATAGCTAATCTATTTTTAATATCCCGCAAAATATTTTTATTAGTTACTTGGCGCCGTTCATTTCTGCTGCCCCAAACAGATGTTCACAAGTCTAAGCATACGTATAAAGTATAAACTCACCGTGATGATGTTATTGTTGCTTAATTACAATTATATGCCTGACAGAATTTCACTAGGCCAATGGCGATAAGTGAGCCCACCCCCGACCCTACCCTTAAAATAATAAATCTTGTATTCTCGTTTCTCATACTTATATACATACTAATGGAGAACCAAGCTGGTGACGTTACTAAGCTTCAAGAAATTGATTTTCGAAAATGTATTGGTAGCAGTTAAGTAAAAGTAGACCATATTTTCGTTTTGTTTACGTTTTTATATGCGAAAAATGTCATTGCCTTGAATACCCAGTGAGGTTTATTAAGGGCGGTCATTGAGTCAGCTGGCGTGGTTTAGACCCCACACTACTACGTGGAGGGGGGGGGGGTCTCAAAAATGGGGTGGTTTCGATCCCACGCCTGTACGTAGGCTCCCCTGCATAACCTCGTGTGTTTTCTTCTAGTTCTCTGACTTCTTTCCACATCTAAAGACCACTACGCACAATTGGATTATTGAAATAAAAATTACAGAATATTACTTTAATCCTGAAATGGTCTAGTTTGTGTCGAGTGGACGTTAAACCCCATTTCTCTATATATTAATTGTAGAAATACCAAATACGCTCTCTGTATTCATTTCGAAGTAGTACTCATTATCATTTTCTTCTTTTTTATCATTTAAATATCTTGTTTTTAAATCCTATTATTGTGGTGTTTTTGGTATAAGAGGTGAATCCATGGTATGGCAGAACGATGTATCAGATGGTTACCCCGAGTGGACTTGTAAGTATATTCATAATTTAATAATTTCAAGAAAAATTAGAGTCTAAAGCTGACAAATATTTTGTTATTGTTTGTATTTATTTATCTATTAGCTTATTTCTATGTTGCCTAGTTCTTTGATGAATATGAATATCAATGGAAATAAATTGTGCAATTTTAATTAATATACGTGTATTAAGCAGAGTTACAGCCCTTTGATTATTATAAATATTTATGGAAGGAAAGGTATCATGCAATTGTTTTTATTTATACACGTATATTAGCTCTTTTATATAGCCCTTTGATGATAACAGTTTTCTACTGAAAGGAATAATGCAATGATACAATCTAATTATAATAAGGCCATATTTTTGTTTGCTGTTCGTTTTAATGTTCGTTGTTTAGATTTACACAAAATTTTAATGAAGTTTGTGTTCAACGACCTGACTTGACCTGTCATCCAATCAATAAACACCCATTATAGCGGGTGCTTAAATAATCTCGGACAACCAAATCCTCCTTGTTTTCAACATATTTATGTGAATGATAGAGACTATAGTGCCCAACTATCAAAGGGGGCAGATAAATAACAAAAGAAGTAATTAGATAAACTTAATGCTGTGCAGGCCAATCAAAACTAAAACTGGAATGTAATAACTACCAAATTAAAATTAGAAAGCATTGTCTTGTCTACAGTTCTAAAATGCTTTTTGTGTCAGGTCCATAAAGATTTTGGACTTGGACTTTTGGTTTCCATTATTTTTTTCTTTATGGTATGAAAATTATATTAAAATCAAAATATCTTTATTTATTTTATATACAGCCATCGACGTGCACTCCAGATTTTCAGAAGGTACATGTAAATCATACGATGTGTCTATGGGATCACCCTGATATTATTAAAACTGGAGTAAGCGAAGCAGACAAAAAACTTATACTTGATCTTCACAACAAATACAGAACCATGACACAATTTCCAGCAGCCGACATGTCAAAAATGGTAAGACAGTATTAACTGCATTATTACTTTTGGAGGTTAAAACCAAGACTATAATTGTTGTATTATATCGAGGGCTTAGAGAACATATGTATTTTATAGGCTCCAGATCAGAAGTTACAGAATGTTTTTATCAAAACATGGGCATGGTGTTCTTAAACTAGTTATCCAAAAACAATAATATTGATTCCTACCAAGTGTAAACCGGGGGTAAGGCTAGGGCTATATTCTAGCGGAACAACTAAGATATATCAGCTGTGAGTTATCATAAAGCACGATAAGAAGGTCAAACGTTCCGGTAACGTACGCCACGAAGCAATCTTATTGGAACTTTGAAAAACGCATACACATCTATACCCTACCACATTTCCAGAATAAGATATTTACACCTTACACAAAGTTGGTGACAACCGGGGGAATTGTTTTGGTCATACATTATCGAAACCGAATTCAGCTGTGGACCCAGATTCTACATGCTATTGGAGGTACATAATCATGTGTTGCGAGTGTTGTTAATCATAAGTACTTTACTCGGGCCGACCTCCCGTTGATGTTAGACCAGAAACTGGCCCCCAGACGCTACTCGTCTTGTTGGTCTTCTTGTTCTTGTTCTTGTGCATGAGGTTGTTCTGAAATCGCCTAAGGCTCCGCAAGTTCAAATACGATTGATATAGAAAATGACAGACTTGTTCCTTGGACAAATGCTCATCGATTGTTTGACTTTAATTTTTGATTTGATATGACAATTTCAAGACGTTGTTTTGTTTTCTATCCTTCATTTCTCTGTTTTCAGTACTGGGATGATAATTTAGCTAGGGTTGCTGCTAAGTGGGCCAGACAATGTTATCTTGCTCATGATGCTCACCGGCAACTACCAAGTAAGTAAACATGGCCTTCATAATGAAATATACACAATGGATAGAGTTGATTTAAAATGTTCCGTAAATATCTAATGAAACAACAGCACTATGTTATTAATTTGAGCATATAGGAAGCCAACGGCATAGGTATTTAGACCGAGTTCTTAGTTTTGGGCTCACACAATAATTCGACAATAATAAGGAATTTTGTATTGGGAGAGACCGAAAGAAAGGCCCCTACCAAGTATTATTGTGTTAATAACACTGTTATCTACCCTGCAAATTACGATTGTGTTGTGTACGAAATATAGATGTTTCGGTAAATATTGCTATCCGTAAAACTAGATGCGTTTGCACGGATGTTGATAATGGTATTCTTAACTAACGAAAGTTGAAGAAGCTTGGACAGGAAACGCCTCTGCCCGGACAAATTTCACTGAATTCGTAAACATAAAAATAAAACATGACCTAAGTATTGTTTTGACGAGATCTTAGCCTTAAGCCCCATTGAATCCATCATTAAATTGAATACATATAAATCAAACTTATTATTCGTGTGTCATTGATATGTACTAAATATTTGGCACGGGCTTTTATTATGTGGTTTTATTTTCATGTATTCAATGTGGGAGTCACGGTGGCTAAGTGATTACGACGCTGGCTCGCTAGTCTGGAGGTCGCAGGTTCGCTCCCGGTGTTGACTGTTGGCCGAGAAAGTTCATCGGGAATTTCCCATTGGCATTGGTGCAGGACGTAGGGTCTGACAAGTACGACTGTCTAGTCGTCTGGATGGGACGGAAAACCAAGGACCCGTGAACACAAAGATCTCTTGGTAGTTCGAAATCGATATAAGAGTAGGCCGTAGCACCGCTGTACTGGCAAAATTTACCTCATACCACACCCTGTATGGCATATGCCGTCTTTGGTGCAGAACAGTAGGACGTTAAAACCCATTTCATTTCATTGTGAGCTTTAGGATCTGCAGGACTGGTAAGCCTCCCATCACACTTCCCTTCAAGACAAACTTTCGTGGCATTGAGTCATCTCTTCTTTACAGAGCACGGGAAGTCTACAGGACAAAATTGCGCTGCAGGATATTTTTATTGGAGTGATGCCGTATTCCATTGGTTTAACGAACAAAAGTTATACAAATATGGCCATGAACCCGATTCTTATTTAGGAAAGGGAAATTGGGTGAAGATAGGACATTTCACAATGGTATGTGAAGAATTTTCTTTCCCTATCTTTTAAGTTTGTAAATGATCTTCTGTTTGTTGTTAATCATCGCGCAATGTTGTGTGGTAGGAGGTGGAAGCCGCGTTAGTCCAGACAGTAGGGCTCTCGCTCGTTAACCAGGAGGTTCCAGGTTCGATCTTGGTGTTGATCGAGAAAGGTCCCCGTATATTCTTAATTAAATGGTACATAGTCCAGGAGGGAATCTAATCAAAGAGTGAGATCAAATTTGGTCTAAAATTATTGCTGCTAACTTTGGTATTAAAGGTAACCTTAATTTAGGCGCCAAGATTAATCTTCTGCACCCTTAAGACGTATTTTCAATATGTAGAGAATCAGATGTACGCCTGAAAATTGTTTCTTATGTTTTAGCTTGCCAACTCTCGAGCAACACGAGTAGGTTGTGGATTTGCAGAGTGTACCCATAGACCAAAAAGATTTTATGTTTGTAACTACGAAGGAGGGTAAGCAGATTTATCAAATAACGAGGCGAATGGCTTTAAAGTGTATCTTTCATTAAACATTAAAAGACCTTGCTAATGTAACATATACTACCCCATCGGCTTTGACAGTAACGATACGTGATTTGCATTTTTTTGGAGAAAATCGAATTTCTAACGGCGTAATCTATGCTACAATATGCCCAGATTGACTATGTACCATATAATTAAGAATTCAAAATACCAAAGCTAAATAATCCTCCAGTTTGGATTCAATCGGATTAAAAGCAGGTCGGTCAATTTGGTTCATGGCAATAAAGAATGCGGTGGTAACGAGGTATTAGACCTGATATGTCCCATCTATATTTAGTAACGCGTTTATCGTCTAATAAAAATACGATTTTTAATTTTGACTTCAGACAAAGAAGTGATGATGTAAAGTTTCCATATAAAGTTGGTAAACGCTGTTCAGCTTGTCCAAATAATTGTGATAATGGATTGTGTGGTAAATCAAATCATTTATATATTAAAGTTTTTCCCTTTGACATTTTGTTGTCATGTGTTTGGAATAATTATATGGCTCATAAATCCGAGTCGTGTATATAATACGGGAAATGTAGCAAATATTTCGAGGTATTTAACATATCTGAATCATTAAAAAAAAACCCGAATATCTCATGTTCGAAAAAGAAAATTAAGATAACTTCACCAAACAAACGAAAGTGGAAGGAAATATTTGTGGTCATGATTAATAAAATATATTTTTATTTGACGTTATATTGTGTGGGTGTTTGTTTTTTTTTAAACTATTTAGATTGTAAAGGGTTGTTTTGTAAGAACTTTGGTAAACTAAATGTAAAAGACTGCACATGTAAATGTGGAAAATTATTTCTTGGAACGGAATGTGAAACACGTAAGTACATTGTCTATATTTAACTTTTGTGAATCCACAAACCACTTTTATACAAAATATTTTGTCAGATATGGCCATCTGTACGACAATGCCAAATGTGATGGTTGCATGGGTACTCACTCTATTTTGTCCGAAATGAGTATTACGAATTTTCGTAGCATACCCTGATCATTTTCTAGGGACACCCGTCATTTCAAATTGCTTAAATTGAATCGTGGCATTTTAACGAGAACATCAGCCTGTGTGCATTTTAAATGTTTAAAAGTCCTCTTTTTAATATTAAGATACATGTACATGTATATAGTTTCAAGCATAAGCAGAACTAAATACCAACCCTTTCATGTAAAAAATCAACAACTTAAAGTCAGTCTGTGATTCTATGAGACGAGCAGTCAGTCACTGTAAATAAACTAACAGTTGACGTACTGTTGTTTTTTTTTTTTTTTTTTGATTTTGCAGTGATTGACGGTTTCCCTGAAAAACAACACAGACACTAAACATTATGCTACACTAGTTTTCAGTCTATAGACTTGCTACTGTGCATTTACCTTCAGCGACGAATTTGAAGCGACAGAAAGGCAGCTATCGTAGTACGCAGGCCTTTGGTTTGTTTACGTGACTGACATTTTGCCCAATAACACTGCAGACGTTTTGCGCTTCGAGTTGCGCATTCTCGAAGCTGTTCTAATCCTGGATACAATACTTACAAAACTTTTTAATACACCCAATGTACAATTTTAAATAATTTATTTCATATTCCATATATATTAAACTAGTTACAATATAGTAGTATCTACAGTTACAATTAATTATACATATATAACCATGTCCCAAATATAATTCCCTAAAATTGTTATATTATACAAAGGCAAACATCTATATTGTTATTTTTCGATCCACAGCAAACTGTCCCAAAAAGGATCCTTTCTACTGTGGACCGGGTAATTTCTTCCCACCAATAGCGTGTTTAAAATATGGAAATGTTCCTGGATTATGTCCATACATGTGTGGAGTATGTGTTGGCGGAGAGAGTAATATTATTTTTATATGTCATTAAATCAAGTTAAGATGCTTGCATCCCACATTTTCTTCTATGTTTTTGCCTGAAATTAACACTTCAATGAAATACTAGTAACCTGTATGCAGTATAAAATAAAGATAACTTGCACAAATTTGATTAATTTAAAAAAAAACACCAGGTAATCATTCAAAGTTTTGTTTTATTCAAACTTTATTACGAGGATTCTCAATGGATTTCAGCTTTCAGCTGTGTTATACTTTCATTATATTATTTATATTAACTAGTTTATGTTCTTGTTTAGTCGTCATTTTGGTGGTACTAATTAAAAAGGGTTTAGAGTGTTCATTAAATGTTAGGAAACTGAACTCAAATCGATGTTCACGTTTAATACGAATTGGTTAACTTTTTATTAAAGCCACTACTACGACAACGATGGCACCGACTGAAGCTCTTGAAATACCAATAGCAAAAACGACTTCAACTACCACTACCACTACGACGACTACTACAACCACAACGACCACGGCAGCGCCAACAACTACGCCGAAACCGGGTCATTTATGCCCCTACAGTGGGACCAAAGCCAGTAAGAGTAAGTATTATGTAAATTACCTATATGTAGTTGCTGAGCAACTGATACCATTTCTCATCTATTTGGCAATCTTTCACAAGCAAATTTTGTTGTCATTTTGAAGTGTTACGCATAAACTGTTTTAATTATCACTTACAGATGGTTTGTCAACAATAAAGCGTTTTAGAAGTCAGACCATGATAATCATGAGGCTCATTAAAGGATAAAGAGTACGTTGTAGCAATAAAGCGACTTTTGAGCAACTTTTGGTAACATTTTTGCGAACGAAAATAAAATACGCTCATAATCGGCATATCAGGATAGTGAACAATATTGTTTTCAGAATTATCGTGATTTTTTTCGTGTCATATCATTGTATTTTCTAATTGGTAAAGTTTTAATGAAATAATCATTTTCATTGTCCATATCTTTCGTATTCAATTAAACATTCTAATTTCAATTTTTTGATCCGAAATGGGGCGTGGGTGTCAAATGCAAGTCCAAGGGAAAGGTAAGTTTTGCGCCTGAATCGAGGTGTATTTTTCCGTCACAATTTCTCAGCCGTATTCAACACCAGACCCTGCATGGTAGTGTGAACTTCAAAAGAAACCAATGTAGCTTGAAATGACCATAACATAAGTTAGAACCGTTCGCTTTGAGAACTGCCAGATCTTTATCTAATCTTCCATAATGCCGCTTAAACTATATTCTGACAGGCTGTGAATTTAATAATTTTAATTTATATATATGTATATAGGTGCTTGTTCTGGATATGGTGATGCAGGTGATGATATGATGTTATGTGTTAGTAAAGGTGGCGTAGTTGGTTGTACAGAATGTAATATGTATTATAATATCAAGAGAGATATATGTCCAGTGATGTGTGGATATTGTGACGGTACTAATACTCTTTATATAACAATCGTGATATTTTATTATAAGTAGTGATAGGTGTTATAGGGTATATATGTTGCTTACTCTTTACAACACACGTTATCTCATTTCTTACTTATGACGTCCTATACGCTAACATTTTTCGCTATATTCTAACAAATGAAACAAAATGGAGACTTGCATACGCCAACTGTCAAGGGTTCTTTAACGTGCACGCCAATGTGTACACGGGACCTCGGTTTTTCGTCCCATCCGAACAAATAGACATTTGTCCTCGTCAGGTCATGCGTCCTGCCCCATTGACATCCGGATAAGAGATTGGAATTTATTACATCTATGGTTTTTTACATTACCATTTTCTAACACTCCTATCAGTCGGGGTGAAGCCATCATATATTAATAACAAGAAGTTCGTCTTTTTTGTATTTGTATCGTTTGGAAAGAATGGATAACGAGTCGACTTCTTCGGCTTTATTAGGTTCATCACGTCATTAGCTCGTCCATAATCTCCATTTTGTATTATGACGAACTCTATTTGTTAGTTCATGGTGGATACTGTATTAAAGTTATACCGATGAATTAAGGTTTATCTCCTCAAACATAACGATCTCGAATATTTCCTTACTGGGGTTAAAATATGCTCTCTAAACACTATGCTGTTGGTGATTGTTTAGCATGTTGTATCTGATTCCAGCGCCGTGTAATGGTAAAGTATGCTTAAATGATGGTAAACTGAACAAACAGTCATGTCAGTGTGAATGTAGACATCCATACGAAGGAGAACTTTGTGACAAAGGTACGTATAAATAACCCTATAAATAAATATTACTCTGTAGTTTACAAAAATTAGAATTGAAAGAGTATAGATCTAGCAAAAATAATGGACGAAGATAGCATTATTATGTTTCATAGTAATATGGACATGCACTCATTCATCGTAGTAGTCCGAGGTGTCTGTGTCTTTCCATAACCGGGTGTGACATTTTTTTGGCCAGTGTTTGAGAATTTATACAATTCCTTACTTTATATACTACCCCAAAGATGAATCATATACGACCGATCTTTCTACGAATCCTTTATCTAAAATTTAGTGCAAAACAAATGAAATTGAAGTATTTTTGGCCTGATATTTCTTGGGATTCCTCAGTGTTGTTTCCGCTGATCAATGGTGCAATACGTCCAGTCGTTCGGATGGAATGATAAACAGGTGTACCTTGTACACGTTGGCGTGTACGTAAAGAAACCCTTGAAAAATGATGACGGGTAGCCGGAAACCCCGCTATCTGGGCAAAGTTTCCCTCATACAGATGGTGATCAATATGTAAGGCGTTTCAAGATCGACAACGAACAATTGGGACTTGATGGTTTTCTTAGTGGCCTTAATCATTCGAATTCGGCGCCCAATTCCATACCTTTTTTAATTTCCGATCATAAAGTTTTCTATATTAAAACATCTACTATTCCGAGATAACTATTTTCTTTAGGAACACACTATGCAATATTTCATAATGGTACTACACATATCTTTAAACATTTTCAGTAAAGTGTGGATCGCCTGATACAACACCCTGTGAAAGATTTAAGAAGAATTACTGTGATCTGTATTATAATACCAACGTAACGTGTCCCGTTCTCTGTGGAATTTGTTAGCGTATTAAAACAGCTATCTTCTAAACTTTGTGTTTGTTTATTTTTAATCTTCAAGCCACTATACGCAGGATTTTTCTTTATCACCAAAAATACCAAAACAAAGTTAACCGACGAAGAAATAAATTCTAAGTGCCCGATGAAATAACAATGTTTTTAGGTATCAGTGTTATATTAAGCACTGATGAGAACACGTTGTTGCCCCACCCCTTTGCATAAAGGTCCGTAGTTTTAGAGAAGAAAAAATAAAAACCTGATATAAATTCTAGATTAATACCGCAAAACTTTGATACGTTATCATTTGGAGTAGTCTCCCCTTTACCTACAGATACACACGCTAACTGAGCTTAATGTAGACTCAATAATATTTCACTGTACGGGTGAGATAACGCGAAATTGATATAATGATAGGAACGCGTAATCAACTGCACTCGTCATTAATAACTTAGTGCAAAAGGATCCATGGAGCTAAATTGAAAAATCTGTAGGGTCATTGTCCGTCATCTTCACACAAATTCAATTTGTATGTCAATATGGTAGATAAATAAATTTATTTGGCGTAAACATATTATAAATGACATATTAATGTTTTGTAAAAAAAATGTTCTAGAACTAACTTGGGACCCCTTTAATATTGGTGAACCTTGACTGAAACCTAGTTAGCCCCTTCCATCTGACCCTGATGTAGTGTGCTGTTATATGCGAACAGTTTTCTCAACTTTCTTTAATGCTTATCATTCATATAGGGGCATATACTGTGTGTACGGACAGTTTCCTCAGCTACCAGATTGTAACCTTAAACACACATTATGCAAGAGATACATCTGTATATTGTAGGTCTTTCTTTAGGCCTTAAATGTTATCTAAATTATTAAATTAGACATTAATTAACGTACAAAGACCATAATCAACTCTCGATGACATCGGATGCGAGCGATATTTAGTGGATTCAAATACGTTTTCTGATGGATGCGGCTACCGTAAAAATGAATGAGCAAGACCTTTTTAATATCCTAACAACGGTGGTGATGACGATCGAGGCTAGCCTATAGTTCCATCGCTAATTTCTAGACTCAGAGTGAAGTAATTTGACTGAAATTTTCAGCATATAATAATAGTTTTGAACTATTATTGCAAGAACTGTCAGCTAGATATTTCGTTTCCGGCATAAATAAACTATCGTTGCTCCAATCTAATATAAAAATATATCATTCAAATAAACGAACAGTAGAAAAGTATGGTCACAGGTTGTATTGTTTTTGCGGGACGATTGAGTGACCTCGCCTATAACCAACCCACATCTGCTATGCTCAAACTTTGTATACATTGATATGTGTTTGAAGCGTTTATATTGTTTTGGACTTTCTCTAATGTAGCCATCTAACATGAGATGTCTTGTAAATATCCATCCGATCATGAAATACACTAGATTGATATCATTTTTAGGAAATAGTCCCTTATTTCGTGATATGTCTCTCATGTTGAGAGTTGTTGAAAATACTGGTTTGGCATATTCTCTTTTAAGGTTTCTGTTTGTATGCTTTGCGGTTTACCGCACTTTCTATTCCATTATATGACTATTTTTGATATTGGGTTCTGAACAACAGTATAGAATATCTTGAATAAGGTAGGTTATGCTTACTCCATCAAAACGTATTATATCAAAAAACTCCCCAAAAAGTCCTTTAAAAAAATGCATTTAGTTAATTGTATATCAGAGAATATATTATATTCCTAGCTTAATCCTTTGAATGAAAAGGGAAAACTTTCACGCCTGTATTATTTCTAGAACACGTGACAAATTATTCTAATAATATTATCAGATAGTTTCGTCTCGTTTTTGTTAGTTCTGGAGATGATGTGCTAGACTGGCTGATGATTGTAAACATTAACAAGAAATATTGTGTTATCTTAGCCTTCAGATAATTCCTATAACACTCACCAGCTGTACATATTAGATCGTGTCTTTGCTGTGTAGTTCTAACGAACTGTCAACGGCCAATGCTAAAGACACTGCAATAGTCGTTATCATTCACAGACAAGAGCGGTTTGAGTCAATATCGCCCAAAGTATTGGAAAGTGACCGACAAGGAAAGATATAACAATTCCTTCTTCGTGGTTCACCTTTTGTGATATCTGATATAAAAAAAACACTGTTGTCGGTGATTAGCAAGATAGTTTTTCAATATTTCAATTATCCATAAATTCGCCAACCTCTTAATGATATCATTTAAATTAGGATATGATGTGTAGAATCTGATTTTGCAGCACTGTTGGTGCTGTTGACAAAAGAAACGCTCTTACAGTGATTAGTAGGACCATCATTTAAGCGCACGCCTTCTACGAAACTGTGACTGCATAGACCTACCCAATGCCCAAGTCGATAGCGGATATTAGAATTGTGGGATAGATAGAGATGGAGAACGAGAGTGTTTTATAATTTAAATATGTTGAATCAGTAAGTCCAAAAATCAATGTTTCAGTCTACAACACCCATCTGGTTGAAGCCGACTGAAGAAAACATCCAAAAAATAATTTATAGAACGGGTGGTGATACCTACTATATATACACAATATCTCATGGGACATATCACTCAATACAACTTACTTTTGATATGTCACCCTCATTACCCTTTTGTTCGCTTAAGAATAATATAATTGGTGTTTAATTAAATGTCACTATCATCAGAGCCCCGGATTATTTGACATTATCAACCTGTGCAGTTGTGTATTTGATATAAATGAATATTTTCTATTACATATAATATAGAGTATTACATACAAACTAGCTGAAAAATAACCAATTCTATATGTGTCACTAGGTTCCTTATGGGTCACTGTCACAGGATAATAGGGCTAAAATAAATGGATCTATTAACTAGGCTAGACTAGCTCGTTTATTAACCGCATAAGCATAAAACCTGCTACAAAATGTCAAACGTATCAATATGTATCAATATTTGATATGCTTAACATTTTGCAACAAGTTTTACGTGGGTAATAAACGAGCTAGTCTAACTTAGTTGTTGGATCCAATTCGTTTGCCCCTCCTGACCACGTCCACCACAACGGGCACGGCAGGCGTTAATATCCTGTGATATTGACCCATAGGGAACCTATAGAAATTGGTTAGCTTTTCAGCTTTTCACCTCTGATCTTAATCAAATTGGGAAAGTTAAAATAAAACGAATCGTAATTCACATCTGATTTTAGTTAAAGGGGCATTAGGTACTGACAGTTCTCGTTATAATAGTTAAAAATAGATAATATACAGAATATGCTGAAAATTTCAGCCAAATTGCTTCACTCTGGACCGAGATATTAGAGATTCAATTTTAGGCTAGCCTCGATCGTCATTACTGACGTTGGTACAATAATAAACAAAGTCTCGATTATCCACGTTTACGTTAAATTATCCAAAACAAAAAGTATTCATATCCACTAAATATCGCAGGCTAACGATGGCGTTGAGAGTTGATTATGGTCTGGATCAGTTAATTAATGTCTAAATAATAATGCAGATAACGTTTCAGGCCTAAAGAAAGACCTGCAATAGGCAGATTTAGCTCTTGCATAATGCATGTTTAAAGTGGGAAAAGCATGAATAAAACGAAACGCAATTCACATCTGATCATAATAAAATTAGAAAATGAAATGGGCTTTAACGTTCTACATTTTCTGATGCATCCGGGCTAATAAAGACGCATTTTCTGATGCATCCGGCTAATAAAGACGGGGTTATAACTGTTGTGTGACACGGGGAAACATATTGAAAAAACGTATTAATAGAAGGAAGGTTTATCTGTTTTATTTTAGATATACTGACATTTTTCCTGCTAAAATCCATCATTCCAAATATTAGAATTCCCTGTTGGTGTAAACTGTGTCAATTTCATGACAAAAATTCTTTGTCTGCGATACATCATTTAAATTTTGAAGTGGATACACAGCAACAAGGATTCGCTCTATCTACAAAACTAATCAACAAGAACATAAACAGACAATGTTCTTCTCTAGATCAAATAAAGCTTTATACTGATTATTACCGTAGACAACTTACTCTTAATTAAAACTAAGCTTCTATAGATTGGTCGCCACCTCTAGTTTTTAAATGAACTTTTAACCAAATCTGGCACTAAATAATGTGTTTTTTATTACTTTCTACGACTTAAATTCTGGCCAAAGTATACAGGTATAATCTCATTAATTCCCTCCTTCACGCGACTAATTCGTCTTTAATGGTTCCTGGAAGCGTTTCTTTAACCAACTAATCAAATAAGGGCAGTGAAGAAAAAGATGGCCGCTTTGTTTTTATTCCCTCGAGCTTCTAGCTTTTATATGCATGGCTTTCTTTAATCATAGGTTTGAATTTTGCAAAACCCAATTACCGCCTAGAGAATGGTGTTGTGGCCGCGAGCGAGCAGTCTAATGTTCAATTTGTCAGCATAAAGTTTATACATTTACATAATAATCTATCGTTTCCTTGCCTGGATCAGCTCCCTTAACACATTTCTATGTTCTCTATCAATCTTAGTTTTCCTTAACAGAAGAGAGCGGTTGACTTAATCACAAATAAAAACCAAATAAAAGAACCACATGTGTAACGTATACATTTGCTATACTCCCAGAACAATACAGTGCAATGAATAATCACAGAAGACTTTGCAAAAAAGAATGAATTCATTTTGTGTTGCTAAATGGCTTCATTATTTTTTTTGTGTTGGACTCATAACAAGCCATATCCTTCACACACATTGCAAAAGTAAAACAAATATGCCTGCTGGGGGGGGGGGGCTTCATGAAGAATGGGCTGACCTATACGAACTTGGTGCTTATTACTATATTCACCTTAGAGAGATACAGATGGCCGCTTGAAATCAATATAAACCACTGTAAACTTCAAATGTCTGTAAGTTAGGATGAATCAGTTTGAATAATTCTTGTATTCTATATTGATCCTTCTTTTTGGAATGTCCGGACTTCACAAAAAGCTGTATGACAAGAAAAGACAATGGTGTAGA